CCCTAAACCCTAAACTGAAGACTGCTTGGTCGCTGAACACCTGGAGCAGAAACCAGGCTCCCTGATGGCAGGAGCCTAGCACCACTATCCGGCAATGCCGGTTTGTCTCGGCAGCTACATATTTGTTTTCTGCGCACCTTAATGTAGTCTCTCAAGGTACAACTCGACACCCTACAGCCTGCACGACTATCCGGCAATTTAGTTTTGTCTCGACAACTGCATATTTTATACTGCGCACCTTCATGTAACCCCTCAACGTACATTTCGAGACCCCACACTCAAACCTCTGGCTCTATATCCTACACTCTGAGCCCTGATGACCCTGAACCTCAAACTCCCAGATCTCTATCTATATTGATATCATTCTGTAGATTTGTAGCGGTAATATGTATATCCATAATCTATCTATATATATATATACCATACATAGATAACATTTCAAAAATATCTCTATAGTATCTAAATCAGTGTCTATAATATCTCGAGATAATATCTATAACATCTATAACATCTATACGATCTAGAATGTTAATCACATGTAGAATATCTAAATTCGCTGTTGCATCTACAATATACATATATAAAATCCATAATGTTTGAAAGTACGTAGCATTTTACAGAACATCTTTAATCTCTGTAATATCTTCAACATCTATACTATCAAGAATACCGGTAATATCTAATGACGGATCATTGTATCTAGAATGTCAAAATATCTATAATGCCTGTGATAAGTACCTATTCTGTTAGCATGCAAAGCCATATCTATATCTATATCTATATCTAGAAGTAATGTTATGATATATGATACAAGAGGCATCGTTCATCTTGGCAGAAAGCCTGGGTGCCGGCCGCCTTCCCAGCGAACGGGTTGTGGAAGAGGCAATGGCGAGTTCAGTGCCTTGGCGTTGCCGGTTTTTGGGTTTTGAAGGCTTTAGGGTTTAGGTTTACCCGAGTTCGGGTGTAGGGTTCGGTTGTTTAGGCTTGCATGTGTTCAGGCTTGTCGGTTGAGGATCTCAGGGTGTCGGGGCTTCGAGTGTTTAGGGTACTTCTGCGTTTCGTGTTTATAAATCACTGGGGCGCTGTTGAGTCCTTAGGCTCGGGCGTGGTGGTTTGGGCTTTGGGGCCTTAAGGCTTGCGAGCTTCACGAGTCAGGGTTTCTGATGTGTTCCTGCTGCTTTTCAGACCCAAAGTCCCCTAAACCCTAAACC